CGACATTATATATTTATAAAATGTTATAATTATTTGTGAAAATAATTATCAAAAAATATATATTATGTATTACAATTTACAATATGATGTGACGTATCTTATAGAAAACATTAAAATGAGTAGTCTTGATGATTTTTCAGACGCCATCATCGTTACCAAAATTACAAGAATTAGTTTTTGTTACAATAATACAAAAAAAATAATATTTAAGAAATATTAATAATAATTAATAACCATCTGTATTGAATTATAATGGTATGATAATTAATATATAGTCGCTTCTTAATTTTTACAATGTCATGATAAGTATTTCATTTTCTGTTTTATCGTAAATAAACAAATAGTTGTTATAAAGTGACTTATTATAGATAGATAATCTTTAATTATACATAAATAGTTATACAAACTAATAGTTATAAGACTCGTGTCGATTAATTAAATTAAAAATTAAATGCAATAAATCATTTTATGTGAAAGTTTTATAATAACATAGTTAATTATAGATAGGTATAAAAAACCGAAGAAATCACTCTGCTCTCAGTTGATTAGTAGGTTTCATCTATGAGTAAGGTAGGTAGCTGCAGTTGATCTGTTCAATTTTAATTCAATAATAAATTATAGCATACAAAAAACGATTCTGATTGGATACTGAGTGTCAACCTCTATTATAAGGATATTTTATAATTTATAAAATAACTAATATTTTTATATTAGTAAACTTATATTGTGCATAATACATAGGACTAACTTTAACAGAAAACATCGCCTATATAGGATTATAATATAGGTACTACTAACTCTTACTCATTAATAATGATCATAATAATATTATATTAAATATTATCTGACCCGACAGACGTTGCCCTGCATGATATTTCAATCATGTCTCAATGTATTAGCTCGACGGCGTTCGTTTCGTAGCTCTTTACTTTCATTATCACGTGTGATTGCAGTCTGGTTTCTTACATTTTCATTGTCAGTCAATTGATCTTCTGCCGATCTATTTAGCCTAATAAATAATTTCCAAATGTATGAAATTTTGATAAAATTACATTAAAAAAATTTAAAATGAAATGCCTTAACTTTATACCTTAACTAAAATATTTTGAAACTTTGTTGTATATAGAGAATGATATTTTAAGTAATAATAAAATGTTTTAAGTTTCTATGTTTAATGTTATTTTTACTTCTTTATATGGTAAAGTAAACAAAAATAATTTGCATAGTTTTTTATTATAAAATTTGAATTTGAAACACTGAAAAATAAACATAATTTGGGATTATTGAAATTTTTAATTTCTGTAATAAATGCTTAAGAGAAACCCTTAATTTAATTATCAAGCTTTCGGACTTTGAAAAAAAAGGTTATCTATATAAATTGGGAAAAAAACTTTAAAAATACGACTTATTGAAATATATACGTCATATAAGGTTCAAAATATTTTGAAAATCATATCATGTCTAAAAGATTGTACTATCAGTATTTCATAAAAATTTAGTTTTTAATTACCTATGTATATAATAATATATACCAATATTAGCAACTTTACTTTGTTAATTGATAAAATATCTTAGCTACTGGCTCTTGAGTCTTCTTGCAGGATTTCTAGATTAACCATACTAGCATGAACCTAGCCTTACCTAACCTAACCTTCTCCATGCCATTAATATATATTTATTAAATAAATATTATTTATAATAGCTTTTGGATCAGACAGAACTGTATAACATATATCTGTCCTATTGCAACAAATAATATTTTGTGTTCAGATATTAGGTAGGTACAAAATATAATTATATATTAAACATATATTATTTTAGACATGTTTTATAGCTATTTTTAATTACGTTAGTAATGTACTTAATCCAAATTATTAGTAGCTATGAAATACTTTTTAGTACAGTTGTTAATAAAACTAGTATATTAAGTGTATATTAGCATAATTTAATAAAACACAAATTGTTTTCCAAAATAATTATACTAAACCAGAAAATCCAGTTTTTTAGCTCTTTTATAAGCACCTACTGAAACACGCGAATTAATTAATTAAATCCGATTTCAAATTTTATGTACAGTATGATTAGTCGGTCTTACGCTGTGTAGATACTACACTACGTACAGTATAGTAATTTTAAATTTTTACAATGTGCAAAGACATGTCATGTCAATTTAAGGGAAAAAGTCATTCCATAAACTATACGTCATTAAAAATGGAAAATTATTTATATTTTATTTTATTATTTTAAAAGCGTTGGGACTTGAAATATTTTTGTCATGACATACGTATACGCAATATATTTTGAAAGAATATTTATGAAACATGAATTTTCGACAAAATCGATTTTTTTTTTAAAGTATTTTTATACAACTCTAACCTGTAATAGTTGATTATAGACTGATACGTCTGTACGAATATATTAAATTCAAAGAATTGAATAAAGTTACCAATCTCAGAATGTTAATTTTTTTATGTTAAAGAGCAACACACTAGTAACTTTAATTATTAGCTTTGGTGTATAAATACCTATAAGATTAATTATTATTATTTATTATCTAAGTACATATTTTATCCTGTGCCCTATGTCGCTAAATTACCTTCATTGTCTTAACAGTGGTAAAAAAAAGTGTGAAAATATTTTCAAATTATATATTCAACCTTGGCAATCGTTACAGTGTAACAATTGACAACAAATTGATATATCGATATAAATATTATAATATAATGTATTGTTATTTCATCTGTATATACTATATTTACATAATAATGCATTTGATGTCCAGCAGTCGGCAAATACAGTGTCTATTGACAGCAGTGGTGACGCCTATATATCAATGTAATTTATAGCGAATTATCATTCGGGTTCCATCCCCCATATTGCCCAAATAAATACGCCCCTTAGTATTACAAACAAAAGAGTTATAAAATTATCATACAATTATAATTCCTGTTGCGTCTTAATTGACTTTAAGCCATATATATACTGGCACTCTTCGTTCTCTAATAATGACTTGTCGATTAAGAAGTTGCAGAACACTTTTCACCATGACTTTTCATCTGGAACCAAAACGTCTAGAATACTGCTAGAAAACATATTAATATAATAACTCTAATAAAAATGTGATAATAAACTAAGAGTGATAATTCTGATGAACATATTATGTGGCATTGTGGCTATGTATATTTTAGAGGTATAATAATAATAACTCTTATTTACTCAAGCGAAAGTAAAAGTAATTTATTTTAGATTAAGAATACCTAGCAAAAATTATAGTTTTAATTTTAACAATCAAATACTCATAGTATCATCGGTTCTAATCGTATTTCTATATATAAATATATATAATATATTTGACATAATTTGTAAAAAAAAAATTTAAACTTATACTAAGAGCGCCATCTTACCATAATAACAGAGACTAAATACTATTAAAAAAATTATTACGATATGTAATTTTTATGCTATAGAATTCTGGTTTATGAATCCAGTAACGATTTTTATTTATTTTGTTTGCATTTTTAATAATTATAAGTAGATTATAGATATACTACTTTGTTAATGATAATTATTTATATAACAAATTAGAACGTTTACCGTTTTTTTTTTATCTATCATTTTACCATCCACTTTGCGTTGTGTTACATTTTAGTCAATAATTGAAGTTGAATAACAATGAATGATTAAGAATTAAACTATAATATGATTAGAATATGTATTTGACTATAGTTGACCCTTGCCGGCTTCAGTATGTTACAAAGCTGAAAGCATACATATTATGAAATATATGTAGATGGCAGTAGTTTATGGTTTATATTATGACATGTAATGGAAAAAAATATTTTTTAAAGTTTGTTCAGCTCCACCTATTGGATGTAGTTCAAACAATTCTTTGAATATTCCTGTTATCTCTAAACTTAATCTCTGAAGCTTGTGTAAAAATCGGCCGAGTAATTTTTGAGCCTATAAGCACCACAACCATATCACATACTTGCCTTTTATATTATATTATGTATAAATATAAGAAAACAGTTTTATATTAGTTTAGCCTTTAAGCCTTACATCTGTTCTATTATAATATTATTAGCTCCTTAATACCACTAAAATTCTACATACTTGTGGGATATTCGTTGTTTAAATCTTAAACATTAATATTCCCAGAAGGTTTCTAAGTTTAAACTTGATATTTAAAACGGCCACATAAGTCAGAATAATTCGGCAATCGTCGTCTTTCACTTACTTCAGCTGCAGGCGTTATAGATGTGTATTATTTATAACCATGAATTCCATTCCGCTCACCCCTTTTTTTATATCGTTTATGTTAAAATTATGTACTTAATAAATTTAAATATGTTCCAATGGTTAATACTATATTCGTTCTGCTGTTATTGGTGGGGTTATACATTTATAAAAATATAAATCAATTTATAGGTACTTTAATAATTATTGGATTCTTTTAGAACTAAGTAGGTTACAAGGTTTTAGTAGTAATACATTTTACTCATGATTTACTATTTCACTTGTATAATGACAATCTTAAAATATACAGAACAAAGGGCAGTTTGTTTTTGCCATCGAACCATTAAAAAAAATTGTCAACTATCTATAGCCATTGCAGTGTGTGCAAATACTATATAGTAATTATTGGTTTTTCTCGGTAATCTCATAAGATTATTTTTTGAACAGAAATGAAATAAAAACGCAATTGATTTGTTTTTTAAAAACACATTATATTATATTTATTATATGCGTACGTTCATGTCTTCAAATAGACGATAGTAAATTGGCAGTTATATAATATAATTATACACAACAATATAATACATAATAATAATCAATTTACAAAGAATGGTGTGGGTGCAGTGCACAATATACGATGACGATCCTATGCAGAACGTCTTGCAAAATGGAAAGGGTGAGACGAAGAATGATAATATAATTGAAAATGTTTATATAACATTATTGTAGGACGAAAGAAGTGGGGATGTCCTTATAGGAGACGTTCACTGGTACTGTGGTTCGGGTGTGCTGGGCAGAGAGGCCAATAATTTGAGAGACTCTTGGATCTCTGCTGGAATTGGTGGTGAAGTGGGCAAATGGGCGCCGTATGGATGGTAACCGAACTCGTCAGCGGTGTAACCGAGTGAGATGACCGAACCGTCTGGGGCTACGTAGGAATTTGTGCCCTGGACGACTGAGACTGGGCCTTCGGCGCCGGCCTTCGCGTAACCGACTGCGTCTTGTTTGATGCCGTTGTCGGTTTCGAATCTGCAAAGATTCAATTTTTACCACCATGCATTATTGTACGGTGAATAATATAATAATATTATGAATATTGTAATTATAATTATTGTGCACCTTACACATGCACACGTGTCGTTACGTAACCACCGCACGAACGCACAGAGTTTCAGATCGGAATCGTCGGAACATTACAGATAGTAATAATAATTGTACGTTTTCGGTGAAAGGCGAGGGGCATTCCGTGACTTAAGAGGCCTGAGATACACATAAATCACAAACAAATCGAATGTTGCGAAACGAGAAAAATAAACGATCGCTTTGGAAATTTATATTGATATTAAACAAGCGCGAAAGGCTGACCGCGAAACGAGTAGCCGTTTTGCCTACTTCGAACGCCCTATTTGCATTATTATAATACAGCCGCAGTTTATATCACAACTGTACCTACATAATATTGTCATTAATTCATAAATAAATGTAGATATAATGATACATGATACCCGGGAGCTTATTACTTGCCCTTAATTACTACGGTCGTCCGTGGAAATTATTACGAAATTCGTTCGTTTAGCCAACTATACATCATGACATAACTTCTATATAACTATAACTATTGACTATTAACTACACAAATCTTTGATCATTCTCAAGTGCGTGGTCTTCTCGTGTAACACAGGTACAGGTACACACTCCGCGCGTACGCATTATGTAAACGAATTTTTGTTTTAACAAATTGCAATGTAGACCGAAGGCGGTTTGCCGAGTCACTACCGCAAAGATACTACTGCAGAGATACTTGTAACGTCGTTACATAAACGGCGTGTACCAAACGAAAAACATTTAGAACATCATATCTAATATTCGAAGTCGTATATATAGGTACTCGAGATTGCTATAGATGTAACCACGAAGTGTCTTATACGAAACGTAATATACACTACGTTTACATGGTGACGTTAAAACGGTTTTAAATCCATTGATACTCTCTTTCTTACTGATAGTTTGAGTTATTTTATTTAGGAGTAACAAATATTATCCGTGGATTTAAACTCGTTTTAACTTCGCCATGTAAACGTAGTTGGGATAATACAGAACGTAATAATAAAGTAATATAGACGTGTTGTTGATATCTAAACCCGCCAACGAAATACGTTGCACATGAAAACATAAATTGTTTTGCTAGTCGCGAACGATTATTACAAAATATAATATACCTAATAATCTATGAGTGGGTTTTAACTTTCAAAGTGTCGGCTACAATTTCGAGGTGAGTGAAAAATTCTAACACTTGAATCAATTATTATTATCGAGAGACCGACAACGAAAAACTTAATACATCAAGACAATATTATTGTTATTTCATACTTGTTCTTGAAGTTGCCGTCGAAGTTGACTTCTTGTTCTTGGTTCAGGATGACCGCCTTAGATTCGGGGCCTTGAGCGGGGTAGGCGCTGACTGCAACGGCCAACAGCAACGATGAGAGGACTAACGTGACCTGTTAATAATGATAAGACATTCGCCAAACGCGATATCCAAAACATTAGGTATCGCGGTGAGAAGTATTCGACTCGAAAGCAAAAAAAACGTTTCAATTCTTACCTGCATTTTGGTAGTTCTTGGTCTGTTCGTCCGTTTGTATATTGTACAGTGATCGACTGAGTACCGTGGTGCTGTACGTAATGATTGAGGATAATATGATGGAGCTGTCTTATATATTATAATATGTACCCATGTGGATCTACACACGATAATAATGACGGGGGTACCTGTTTAATGTTTACCATATAATAATGGAGGCGGTACCTGCCGTCGAGATGGAAAGGTCGTTATGTCAGTGGGTTATGAAAGCGGTCCGACGACATTTATTTTAGCACGGGCGCTCTATGGGAGATTGTAATAAACACGTTTCGAAGAAATACCAATATACACGAGCATATACACTTACACACACACATACACACACACACACACCCGCGCACAAATATTAAAAATAATAAAAGTGTTGGATAGAATAATTAATAAGGGATTTGCCTAAAGTTAAATGTGGCTACGGTATAGCAACATGTCCATGAAAAATAATTGCATCTCTATATTTAAAAAAAAAATTATGTTTCACGTACAAGCGATAATCCTGAAAACTATTGGGTATAATCGAACACTAAAATAATAATCATTGATGTGTTATTGTATAGTAAAAATAATTTTAAAAAAGCCAAGTTCTTATTCCACAGAAAATGTATTTAATGATTTTTATGTTTTCAATTTAAAATATATAGTCTATAAACGTGCAATTTTATTGCATGTAAGTCAACAATCAATCTATCGACTTATAAACCACAGCAGCACGTCATAGTTACTAAACTCGTCCAAAAACTCTAAGTAATCCGAATTATTACATAAAAGTAAATAAGCAATTTGGAAAACTAATATTATAAAATATGTTGGTAGGTATTGACTTAGGTATGTAGTTATGTAAGCCACTTAACATAGATATAAGTGAATTTCAAAATAAAAATCTGCTTGTAAAATGTATTAGTTCAATTAATTTAAATAATATTGATTTAATGTAAATTCCAACTTCATATAAGTTATAACACTATGATCTTATCATAAGTTTATTATAGATGTATATTATAAATATTATAATTTAATAATAGTAATTCATATTGTATAATTCTATTTTTGTTTTTCCTTATTCTAAACTCATTTAGGTACTGCAAGCACAGGCTTCGCGTTTTGGAGAGGTTTTTAATCATATGTAAAATTAATTTGTTTTTTTTATTGTATTTTTTATTATTGTGATAATATCACTTGCTCAGTATAAATGATACATTTTCTATTTTATGGAATAATTTATATAATGATAACAACAATAAAATACAGCGAAACTAAAATATAACAAACTTCCATTTAACAACATTTTTTTGAGAACCAAATTTATTTAATTCTTATATTTAACAAATTTTTCTATAATATGAATTTTTTTGTTACCCACGAGACTTCATAGTTTAGAAGTTTTGTTGTATAACACATATTTAAATTTCAACAAAATTTTTACTCGATTTATGAATTCAACAATAATTATTACGAGGGATATAGTAAATAAGAAAAAGAATAATAATAATATATTGTTACTAGATATTTTAAAACTTGAATTATAATTTCAAGAACGGGTCCTTTGCAAATAAATAAATATATATAACTATATTTTATATTAACAGCCAAAAGAAATTATTTAAATACGTACATTATTTAGAGTTGAAAGTTCATTATATAATGTTATAAAAAAGTAACTAAATTTAAAATAATGTTTATGATTTGAATAAGCAATTATTCAATGAAATCATTATTTTTAATATGTTCTTAGAGCGGATGCCGATACTCGTTTTTGTTTTATTAATATTGAATATCAATCACCATGACGACATCTGGTATATTTTATTATTGGTATACCTATTACTTAGGTAATAAATGTTTACCTTTTTGTCTGTGTGCCTTACCATATTATTAACTAATAAGCTTACTTATTTTGCATCTCATTGTATAGATTGTTTATTTAAAATGTATAAATACCAACTAGATGCTATACACAGTATCGGTGATACTGAATTGAGTCCCCCAAATACTTTTGGGTTATCGGAGTTGAGTCCAACCAATATTTGTTATAGATTGTTCGAGTTGAGTCTCTTTAACCTATTAGAATTATTCAAAAAAAACCATGTGAAGGTTGGCCGAGTATAGTCTCCTAAAAAATGTGTGTGATTGTTACACTGTTTTTTTTTTTTTTATCGTAATAATAATTAAATACTGTATGAAGCCATAGGACCCTAATTTATATAAACATCAATGTAAAAACCCATTATGTACATAACTAATCTAATTGTAAGCTAATAACCATGATGTTGATGCTGTAACAATAAAAAATATAAAAAATATAAAAAAAATAATTAAATAAAAAATATAAAAAAAATCGATTTTGGTTTTTGGTGTAACTTTAAAACAAATAACCGTAGATACATGAAATTTTCAGTGGTTGTTTATATTTGCATTTTTTATACACGATAACATTTTCAAAATATTTTGATTTATTTTGAACTGTTTAGGGGCATTTTCAGTTTCCAATTTTATTAGTTTTTTTTTTTATGAATATCAATAAAAATTTATTTGTTGAGTAAAAATACTTGAAAATTTAATACAAGGCTCCTACTATATATTTTCAAAGGTAGATGAAAAATATTTAAAATCCTTTTTTATAAGCATTTAAGGTTCGAAAATTGACAAAATATGGAAAAATCACGAAAAGCAAATTATTTTGAGTTAAGAATTCGTAAAAATTTTTCTTTTTAAATCTAAGATTTGAAAATGTAATACAAGATTCCTTATAACTTATAAGATTATCTACCTTTATCAAAAAAAAAATGTCTATAAGAAAGTCAAATTAAATTTTTATGAGCGTTTTTAAATTCAAATTAGTACAACATTGGATATTCACTCGATTTCTCATGTAGCGATTTCCTTATTTTGTTGTAATTCAAAGACGAATAACTGTAGATACATGAAAATTTCACTGAATATTTATATTAGCATTTCCTATACAGCATACAATTTTTGAAAATATTTTTACTCTTTTTGAGCTGTCGACGGACCTTTTGAGTTTTCAATTACTTTAGTTTTTTATTCTATATAAAGATCAATAAAGTTTTATCTGTTGGGCCAAAAAGTGTAAAAATTTAATACAAGGCTCCTGATATATTGTTACAATATCAGTTGAAAAATATTCAAAATACATAGGCACAATTTTTTTTTATTAGCATTTAAAGATCGAATTTTGACAAAATTTATCAAAATCTCGAAAATTATCAATCATTGTAATTAATAAATTATAAAATGTTCAGTTTTTATAGCTAAGGATTGCAAATTTAAAACAGAGGTTCTCATAAATAGTTCATACTGTAACCAAAAAATCTAAAAAATATATGAACACAGTTATTTTTTACAGACATTTTAAATTCAAATTTGGACGAATTACATATTAAAATACCTAGAATAACTATTTTAGTTATTTTGTTGTGATTGAATAATATTATTCATGGCTACTTGAAACTTCTAAAGTACACTATTATATATCTATGGAGTATGGACTATGATAATATCAGGGTTTGTTGCTTATGTATAACGCGTTATAACTTATAAGTACCTAATGGATATTGTGATACGATTAATTTGGAATTTATTATAGGTACTTATTATAGGTCAATTTTTTGTTTAATACCATAAATATGTAGGTACAGTGGAACCTCGATAAGTCGAAATTCAAGGAAAATGCAATTTTTTCGACTTATCAAGGTTTTCGACTTACTAAGGTTTTCGAGTTATCAAAGTTTTAGAAAAAAAATTCGACTTAAAGAGTTTTAAAAATGTATGTATGTATTAAAGTTTTTAATTATTATGTACTTAGTATATATTATGTATATACAATGTAAAAAAATGTGATTATACAGATTATTTAAATAAAAAAATTATTACAAAAAAATATAATACTTTATAAAAGATAATTTATTATTTTACTTTGACTTAAAATTTGATATTTACTATTATCAATTGTATTTTCTATTACATTTAAAGCAGAGTACACTTTGGGCCGTATGCATAGTCCGACACTTAAGGTGCACCTAAAATCACTTAGGTAATACCTAACTATGGAGCAGCTAGGTGACACCTAGCTGCTACTTAATTTTTGGCTGCATAGATAAAATTTAAGTGGCCCGTAGTTAGGTATTACTTAAATATTGTTTTCCTTAAAATGAATGTATTCTTCCATGCTTATCAGTAATATTTATGATAATTGTCGGTGTTATCACTTATCACATGGTAAAATAAATTATTAAAATTTTATATTGACTTATCAGTTGTTTAATATCATTTTATATCAGAATATTAATTAATAATTATTATTAATTAATATTATACTTTCGAGTTTTAAATTGAATATTGTTTTTACTGACTGATATTTTTAATCTGAAACTTGGGAGTATCGACAATCGACATAATGGATTTAAAGAGCAAAATTTTAAAACGTGAAAGAGGGCTAAATTGGGAACATGAAGAAAAAGTAATATTTTTTCATTGTTTCCAAAAGGTGGCTAACGTATTAGAAGATAGTAAAAAAGACTTCAATACAAACAGCAAAAAAAAAACATTGCATGGTTAAGTCTAATAAATAATTTCAATGCTCATTCCAATGATAAAAAGGTACTAATAATAACTAATAAAAAATTACTAATATTATTTAAATATTTAATCTGTGTGCACATTTTTAATTTTCTAATTGAACTTATGCAATTTCTGACTTCTGTGTACATGCATAATATATATATATAAGTTACAAAATTGATAAAATTAAAAATTAAATATTAACAATATTTTAGTTAGGTAGGTAACAGAAAACAAAACTATTATTTAATATTAACCACCGCCTCCCAGCAATTTTACTCCATGAGTATTTTCAGAAAAATATTTGTTTGCATAACTGCCATTAAATATAAAACTATCGTGATAACTTCCTGGTCATCTAACTACCAAATCTAGGAATTCCATTGATGGTCCACAAATAGCCTAAATTAAATAAAACCAAAAATTGATGAATTAAATAGGATATAGTACGCAGTATCTATAATGTTGAAAAATTCTAATTTAAATTTAAAAATAGGTGTTTAATATGGATTCAATGATATAGGTACCTAATAACATTTTATACGAATAAGGATTCTGAGCGGAGGTGGTTTGTCAGCCTAAAATATTACTAAGTATATTCTTTGATATTATTGTGATAATAATAATAAGTTGCATCCATCTCATATTTTTAATTTTTCAAACAGATGAAATTCAACGTTTTTGAAACATAGTTTTTGGTTTAAGAATTTTCAAAAACCAAAAATCTTCAATTTTAATATTTCGCAAAAATTAAAAACTGTTTCTATTGTAAAATATTGCGGTTATCATGTTGACCTCTAAAAAATATTTGTTCGGCCAACGGGTTCTCGATAAAGCGTAATTGAAAATCAAAAATTTCAAAAACAATTACGAGTTGTTTTACGCGAAAACAGTGAAGCGTAGGGTACGTCATATACATAGGAGATTAATTGTTTATAATAATAAGTTTCATCCATCGTATATTTAAAAATTTTCAAAAAGACGAAATTCAACGTTTTTGAAACATAGTTTTTGATTTATGAATTTTCGAAAACCAAAAATCTTCAATTTTAATATTTTGTAATTTACTTGACTATTAGGCATTAGTACTGCAGTAGATTAAGTTCATTTATACAGAGAAAATTTCTTTAGAAAATGTCATTGTATGTATAGAACATAATATGTGAATAAATAAATTACTTAATCAACAGTACAGTCTAATTAAAAAAAGGAATAATACAATTATATAACGACAAGTTATAATATAGATTATAGGTTTGTTTAATGATAACATCAAATTAAACATTTACGGGATGGCTAGGTGATGGATATTGACCACTTAACTTTACGGATTACTTTATGTAGCAGCAGACCCATAACTATGACTATGCATTGCAAAGTTACGGGAATTCTCTTAGGTGTCACCTAAAATCCGTTAGGTGTTACTTAAAATGACTATGCATACGGCCCTTTATCGTCTACATTACTCAATTGTTAGGTGAATGTCCTTAGCAATATGAGGGCTGCTGTTGAGCTGTTGAGCTGCTGATGAAGATTAGATAAAATTATCGGAACGGACAAGCCGATTAGATAAATGTTTATAAAATTATCTGCCATTATCCGTCATATTCGGAGCACAGAATGTTCGAGTTATCTATAGTTTTTTTTTCGAGTAATCGAGGTTTTCGCAAGGGGATGGAATTTTTTTCGACTTATCAAGGTTTTCGACTTATCGAGGTTCGACTTATCGAGGTTCCACTGTATATAATATGTCTTATACCTAGACTGACATACCGTCTCCGCTCAGAATCGTTTTTCTTATACAATTATATTATATCGTTGAATTCAAATTTAATATCATACATTATACAGTGACCCACTTGTAACCTACTGTACAGCAGAGCGTCACCCACTTGCCCACCTTTTTTTTTCTTGTGTTTGTCATCAGTCATCACCGTTTGGGGCAGTAAAACTGCTTTGATTTTCTTCAACAGTATCTTGTTCAATTGGAAAATATAAATCTAGTTGGTCAACATCGATTTTGTCTTTTGGTATAACTCTAAAACAAATAACCGTTACATGACATTTTCACTGAATGTTTATATTATCATTTTCTATACACTAAAAAAATTTGAAAATATTTTGATTTGTTTTGAGCGGTTCAGTGTCCAATTTTTTAAGTTTTTTTTTTCTTTAAATGTCAATTAAATTGTATTCGTTGGATCAAAAAAAACTTGAAAATATAATACAAGGCCTAATTTTATTTATTGTTACAATGACAGTTGAAAAGTATAAAAAAATACATGGTCACAATTTTGTATTATAAGCATTTAAAGTTTGAATTTTAACAAAAATGTTATCCCACAGTATTATATTAGAATATAAAATTACCTATTCAATATTAATTCATTGTGGTACATCATACGATGAAATATGAAATTTTTATTTTTAACATTTATAATGTAATATTTTTCTGGTTATAGTAGACATTTATCAATACGCGTCAGATACACTGTGGTTAAAAAAATTATCTTATATAATTATTATTTGTTACATAAAACGCTTTAAATAATAATATAATAATCGTTGTCAAAATAGTAAAACAACTAAAATTCTTAGAAATTCTGTTCCTACCAAGATTTCACCTAAATTACCATTGGTAATTATTTTTAAGCCCATCTTTTTTTTAAATCTGATAAAAATTACTGCAGATTAAATATGGTATCAACTACTTTATTAATCGATGGAAATCAACATATTAATAAAAGTGCCTATTATATTTATTTTATTTTATTTTTGCACATCGCATGAATATTTCAACTGTAAACACTCATTATTTACTATTTAGTATAGTGATAACTTTTTAAATATATATTGTTTAATTTATTTTAATTTATTGCAAAACAATATTTTTCTTTGGAATATAAAATGAAAAATATAATATTTTGTGAATTAAAACAGTAAGAACTTTAGAATCGAAAAAAATAATAATTAATATAATATCATTTTATTTTTAAATGTTGTTTTGGAAGAACTTTGTAAATCATTTTGTAAAAGAAAATACTTTAAAAACAACATTTTTACTTTTTTATATAGTGAGCACCTATTTACTAACCGAAAGTGGTAAAAGAATCTCACTTTTTATAATTGTGGACATTAATAAAGTACTTAGGTAATATAAATAATATTGTGTTAATTTTAAATAACTGAATGTAAGTGTATTTTAAAACATTAACTATACTGGTTTTTTTTAAATAGGTTAGTATTATAATATTTTGTATAGATATTATAACAATTGTCATTAAGATACTTCATTATTCATGTTAAAGTTTCTGTGTAAATATATAAGAACTTAAGTTTAATAGATTATAAATATACCTACGAATCTTATAAGAAATCGAATATAATTATAATAAATGTAAATTTATATTTACATACTAAAAATATGTTATTAATATTTAAAAACTATATAATTTAGTTTAAAAAACTCCTTTAATAAATGTTTATTTATATTATAACAATTAAGTATTAACAAATACATATTATAAACCATAATTTATTGTATTTTTTATATTTAAATTAATTTGTTTATTGTCTAATATTTATTAATTAAATTGTATACCTACTCATACTTCATAAGTTCTAACTCGTACATAACAATATTATGATGACTGATGACCATAAAAACAATAAATATTAAATATTATTACCAACGTATTATTTTCGTCAGTAAACATTTATACTAATAACTGATTACTAATTGATTGTTCATACTTTTATTCTGCTAATAAACAATATTTGATTAGGCATCATATTCAAACAAACAATATAGATACCTATCATTCTATAGATGTGTCATTGTATATTCAGTACGGATAGATAAAATTGAATTCTAGTCTATGCCTAAACTATAATATGTATTTGTCGTATTATATTATATTAAACATAAACACACACATACTATATACAAGTATAAGTTTCATTTTGTCAGTCAACAACAAAACCTTCATTAATATTGTTATGTATTTACATATTATTATAATATGTGTTACGAAAGTATAATATTATATTGGGCGATATGAACGAGCGACTGAAATGGTAACAATTATCAGCACATTATGTCTTGGGCTTGTCACGGATGACACTTCTCTTATAGGTGTGCCCACGACCGTGGACGATTTGACACTCGAGTTAATTTATACAAGATTACATAAGTCAAACTACAACTTACTACTAGATCAATATTAGCAAACAATGCTAATCGGTTGATTTGAAGACACACGTGATGCATGTAAAAAGAAAGGTGGATGTGTATATTGTGTGTCATATTTACAAGGCGTTATTTATACAAAAATAAATTTTAATTTTATTATGAAAATAAAAATCGTATGAAAATACTATAAATTATTTGAATTTAAATTATTGGAATCATAACTGCACTTAATAAGCCGATGCACTGGGAGACTTTTTGTAAGCTGATGCACTTTGGCTTTGGTAACCTTGTGGTGACTTATACAGTTGACTGGCGGAGAAAGATTGTCCATAAGATTGTTCACTAGTTTCCGCACCATATCCTGATGGGCCCTGTGGTTTCTGATAGCTTGGTTGTTTTGGTGCAGAAGTAGATGATTGTCCGTAAGAGTTAGGGGCAGAAGTCTGTCCGTAAGAGTTAGGGGCAGAAGTCTGTCCATAAGATCCAGGAGCGGACGTTTGTCCATAAGATCCAGGAGCAGATGTTTGTCCATAAGATCCAGAAGCAGATGTTTGTCCATAAGATCCTGGGGCAGATGTCTGACCATAAGCTCCTGATTCTTTTCCATATGAAGACGAAGCACCATTTTGTCCATAAGCTGACTGTTGTTGTTGGTATGCTTGTTGTGCAGCTTCCTCGGCGGCATTCTGTTCCAATGATTGAAGAATTTCAGCTGGTATTGGTGGTGGTGTTGGTAAATGAGCGCCCTTAGGAACAAATCCATTTTCATCAGCGGTGTAAGTCACTGTAATAAGTTGTCCATCTTCTCCGGGGTAGCTGAAAGATCCATAGACAGATTGAATTCCTTCTGGGCCACCTGGCTTAAGTTGACCATACTCAGATACTGAAATGCCATTGCCAGTTTCGTAACTGAAAAAATATTTATGTTATAAAATGTTTATTATTGATTATTATCTTTAAAATATTACCTGTATGAGTAAGATCCATCGCCAAGATTTGGTTGGTTCGACTGAGATAGAATAGGGATAACTTCAGGTGGTCCAGCGACATTGCCTGGTGCAAAAGCGTTGTATCCATTACTACCTGGTTTGTAAGCATCGACTGGTGCATTAAGAGGTGTAATTGGTCCTTTAACCTCAGGTGGTCCAGCGATATTGCCTGGTGCAAAAGCGTTGTATCCATTATTACCTGGCTTGTAAGAATCGGCAGGTGCACTTGATCCTTTAACACTTTCATATTCAGATCCAGATTTTTGGTATAATGTAGATGATACAGGCTTTGGGCGGGAACGTTGGCCATATGATGATTGAGAGGCTTGTGATTGGTATTGTGATGACGGTGCAGATGATTGGTATTGAGATGACGGTCCAGATGATTGATATTGTGATGACGGTCCAGATGACTGGTATGACGGTGCAGCAGTCGATTTTGAACCATACGATGCAGATGAAGGTTGATAACTGGATTTTGCGCTTTGGGAATATGTTTGTGCAGCTGGTGTGGATTGGTAAGACGAAGCAGCAGTGCTAGATTGGTAAGATGCAACTCCAGACTGGTAGTTAGATTGCCCAGCTTGAGAGTATAGCTGTGAGTTCAAAGCAGAAGATTGGTAAGACCCAGAACCCGATGGGTAACTAGACTGTGCACCTTGAGAGAATGCTGGTGATGCTGGGGCCGATTGGTATGAACCAGCACCAGATTGGTATGAACCAGCACCAGATTGGTAACCAGACTGGGTGTTTTGCGAATATGATGGTATTGCTGGGGCAGATTGGTAAGATCCAGCGCCAGACTGGTAACCAGACTGTCCAGCTTTTGAGTATTGTAAGCTTGCTGGAGTAGACTGATAAGAAGAGACGCCAGACTGGTAGCCAGACTGTGCACCAGATCCTGCGCCAGATTGGTAACCAGAGAATGCATTAGTTTTGTATGCGGGTGCTGAGGTTGATTGCTGATACGATCCAGAAGTAGATTGATATCCAGCAGCTCCACTACCTAGATATCCAGTCGGAGAGCCAGATGAGTATGCTGAAACTTCAGGGGATTTTTGGTAACTGCCAAAATTTCCTTGATAAGATGAAGAAGGAGAAGATGGCGTAGTCGGAGATCCATAACCAGAAGATGCTTCAGATTCATAGCCTTGTGGATGAGCCGCCGCAAGAGCGACAAATGCAATAAATAAAAACTGAAAAACAATTATTGATACGCATTAAAATATATATAAGCACAATATATTTACTATTTAGTAGGTATAATAGCAAAAATAATACATGAGTACATTAAATATAAATTTATTTTTAAAAATCCTACTATCTGAATGTCTGATACTCTTATCAAAACCAATATTTTCCATAAATGATGATAGAATAAAATTTAGATTTACTATAAAACATAAATAAATTTAACATAATTATCAATAAAAACTGTTCAAGCCCAAAATAGGTATTGATGTATTCTTGCTTTTTTATTGTATTTAATTTATTTTTGATAATCAGAAAGTTAGAAACAAAGTTAGTTGGTATTTTAAAATATTATACATTTTATATGCATTAAATACTATTTGAACAGTCAAACTATTTACGAACTAAAATTCATTTTTTTCCTAAATTTAATGACGAATTCTTAAATAATATTTTCATGTTCCTAATTACTTATTTGTTTAAATGGTTTAATTTCTTAACTTAATTTGTCTGAAATATTTTACAAGCTAATATAAATGAATAAAAGATGAGTCTAGAAACTGTCATTAAAAATAATAATCAACGAATAAAACTATTATACAGTTTAAATAAAAACAAATTAAAATTGTTGTTGTATTCATAAATTTAATATCCTTTTGGCTACCTACACCTACCTAGTACCTACTTAATTATAATGGGTGCCTATATATATATATATATCATGATTATACCAAAGTGTAGCTACAGAAATTAATACAAATGTGAAATATCTACGGGTAGGTCAAAACCTATTAAAATATATTACGAGTAAAATAAAAAATGTGCATATTAAAAAATAATTTTTTGTTTTCTTATGCCAATATATTAAATAAATTATTATTATAGAAATATAAACATTGTTTTTATAAAGAATTAGTCATGGTATTATGTTTTTCAGGATAATATTATAAAAGTTTTAATGCGTATGTTTTTTTTTAATGTTTATTTTGAATAAATTATTTTCGTATGCGATTTGAATACCTGCCTTGTATTTTAATATTTAATCCAACGGGGATATTTTAAAATAAACAATATAAGCAAAATTTAAAAATATATAAAATTATATGCATTTATAATCAGTTGAATTTTATAAATTCTACTCTACTAGATGAATTCAAATTTTACCACACAAAAATCGCACAATTTATATCTATTTTTATTCCGAAATTTGCATATTTTAAAAAATAATATATTAGGTACCTATTTATTTTTTGTTCTACTATTGAACAATGAGCATAATAACTCATAAGCAAAGTTATCTTCGATTAAAATGAATGTTTAAACACATTAATGAGAGTAAATGGATTAATTAGAAAAAATTACTTTAAAGTTTAAAGTTTGTACCTGTTGGACAAGCATACATTGAATGATTATTTCTCAACAAAGTAATACACGTGTTCCAACTTACAAAACGATATTATAGAAATAATATATTATAAGACTTTAAAATTTCTACCAATAAAATCATAATACAAGACCAATTCGTTTAATGTAACTATTTTATTTTAGTAGAAAACTGTACCTTAACGTGAAACTTTAAGTCTTAAGAGTATAAGTTTAGCACAAAAATGTTCCTCGAGACGTACCGAGTACATAATATTAAATGGCTGCAAACGAACGACGGAAAATATTTTTATTTCCTGTTTACGAGAACCGAGCACAACATTACAGTTAAGACTATGTTAAATTACGTTTAAAAACATGTTATGTGCCCGAACTCTATAAGGAGTAGCTGCCGTGTAGGTGTTCTGGCGGTACTATATATACCTACCCACGTGATTTATTGTAATATACATTGAATATTATATAGCTTACCATCTTCATGTTGTCGGTGCGGATTTGCTTGTGTGGTGTATTGTACTCGGAGTCGCAAGTCTGTGAAAACCAATTGACGACGATAACTGGACTGACGATGGATCGGTACCCGACGTCTATATATACGACGATGCGTCGGGACGATTACCGAATAGTTATGGTATACGGTTCGCGCGCTCGAAGGAGGTGATGTTCAGCGGCGGCAGTGGCGCTGCCCCTACCCCGGTGACGCCCTGTGGCCAATCCGATTTTGACTTGCGAAGAGAGTAATGTAATTTTTTTTATTACGATTATTATTATTATTATGATTATTTTTTATGACGTGCCGCCGACACGACCAAAGACTAATTAGAACGGCCGTGTGTGTGTGTGTGTGTGTGTGTGTGTGTGTGTGTGTGTGTGTGACAGGTGTAGGACGATAATATAATAATATTATATGTGCGCGTACCAATACCGCATAATATTCTGCCTTGATCATCCGATTGATCAATGGGTATAATATGATGTCTGACGACGACAGCTCATATATGACCCAGTTCGATGCTGCTCATGATGATGACACCAGGCCGTTTTTTTATGATTTACACGTACACTATATACTACGCACTAAATACACTGCGCGCGTGCTAAAGGATTGCCTCGGCCATGGATAATCATAATGATATGATGGACGGCGTATTCCGATAACGTCGAGGTGATCATTGATCAATAACGTATTTAGTCGTATATTTTCACGACTTGCAGGTGTTTCAGAACCCTCAAATCGCCAAAATATGTTACCAAAAATAACGCTCATAATAACAACTCGGCGGCCCACATAATATTATTGTCTCGCCCACGGCCCCTGTCGACCGGAACGCGTAAAAACTATGTTTGTTTGTATTTTTATTTTTATTCGTAGATCAAAACCAGCCAACCAGACTATAACGATTGAAAAAAGTTTATTTTCTGTATTGCAGACTGCAGCATATTTATCGAATTTTTGTGAGGTAAACAAAACATTATAATACAGTGATTGACCTATACGACTGCTAATTTATTTATTAGATATTTTATATTTATTTTTAATTTTTAATGAGTGACAACATTATGATATGATATCTAATAATATTTACTCTTTTTTTCCATTAAAAAAGATATCAAACGTGCATTTAATGATTTGACGGGAAATCAAAATGTTGACGTTTTATTTTTTGCAAAAGCTTTTGTAACTATATTGTTCTGTTTTGGAGTAGTACATACCTAATACTAGAGTAATATAAAATATTAGAAAAGTATAATAATATTACACAATAAGGAAAACTAAAATAAAAATGCAATATCGTTGCACACTGATGGTTTTTCGAAAAACTTATTTCCATTCGAATGGATCTGATTTCATATAAACGCATTTGAGAAACCGGTTACATTAGTAAGTTATTAAATCAGAGATGTCAATGTGTGATAATCGGTAATATGAAAATGATAATTTAATATAATAATACCATGTTATTATAATATTGCATATAAATGGTAGTTTCCGGTTAAATAGGCATTGTCTTGATCAAAATTCTTAGGCTAATCAATCCTATGCGCATACTTATAGACACAAACCTATTTGAATCTTGTATACATTAAAACGATTCGTTTCCACCCATTAGACAGACAAAAAAAATACATTTTCGTGGAAATACGATATATGAAATTTGAGCGTTTGAGTTTTTTTAAATTATAAATTAATGCAATGTACAAAATATATATTATGCCATACTTTGTACGAAAATAACATGATTGATATCATAAGCACGAGCATTGATCACACACATAGTAACCGATTATAACTTCTTCGAAGCAACTTAGGTGAAATAGCTGTAGACATATTATATACTCATATTAGCAATTGGTGATTATCCTAATGATTTCTACTATATACGTATAGTACTATTGTACTAACGTCTTTCAATTAGGATCGTAAATAAAACGAAACTACAAAGGTTAATTTATTATTATTGTCGACCGGGCAAAAACAAATTATTTTAACAGACACTGTAATCATTAAGCTGAACAACATGGACAATTTATGTTTCATATCGAAATAAAACCAAAATGCTGTAATTTTTTTCAAATTACGAAAAAAACATGTATTTTTACATTATCAATATAATGTTGAATCACGGATACTGTGTACTCTTGCATTCAAAAAATCAATATGAATATTATACCGTGGTGGCCTTTAATATAGTTAGGCCCTCAATCATCAACTCGTCTCTCTCACGAGGGATTAATCTGTGGTAGCTATCTCTACAATTTATAATGAAAACGCATAGTACTCGAAAAACGATTCTCAGTAGAGTAAATTTTAGACGGCTGTTGACAGTTTTTATTAGGTAGGTACGCTTAGAAATACTATATTGAGATAATTACACTCTCAAAATATATCACAATTTTATTATGTTTTTACTTGTAAATTGTAATGCCGCTTTCGACCTAAAAACGTTCACTGAAAAATGTAATAAAAATAAACATCACTGTAAGATTACGCATACCTATATTCCTTTAAATTATATAAAATAATATATAACTCCGCTCAACATGAAAACTAATAACCGTAAAGGGATAAGAAGAAAAATAGCACAGTTTTAAAAATACGCAATAATTATTTCGCTAAATTCTAAAAAGTTAGTAAAAATCAGAGGGAACATACTATAAGAACACCTTAATAGATTATGAATTGTTGCATCTTGTACAAATATTTACAAATTTAATAGTTGTAATTTTTATACAGATATTAAAAAATAAGTGGCCTAATGTGTTCTTATTGTAAGATTTCGGGTTACTAGGTTACTTAGAAGATTTAAAATAAATTACTTATTTAATCCTGTATTCACAATTTCTACCAGAAGGAGTGTTTCGATTTCAACATAAAGTACCTTATCTTTTGGCAAATTGGATTAAGATGGTACATTAAAGAGGTCATTTTTCGATTTTCCCAACAGTTATTTAATGTCACGGGAAAAACCACCGACAAATTACGAAAAACCGCTAAAAATGGTATTTTAATTTCTAATAATTTGTTTATCAGTTTATCACCATAAAAACGAAAAAAAATTATATTATAATATTAATTCAACTTACAGGATATAATAAATAATAAAAATATAAAATATCCAGACTGACAAACCGTCTCCGCTATGAATCGTTTTTCTTATACAATAAAAATATTATATTATATCATTGAATTCAAGTTTAATATAATCCACTATACATTGACCCGCCTGTAACCTACTGTACAGTAGAGCGACATCCACTTATCCACTTATTTTTTTTAAAACTGTCTATAACCGAGAACTTTACATAGATAACCATATTTCAGTTTCATATGCATCATTATCAATCAATAATATTACTCATTCTTCCGGCACAATAACGTGATCAATGGCAATTACATCGATGATTATCATCACTAACATAAAAAGCTTAAGGATAGCATTGAACAAATATTACAGGTATGGAACGTATTCAAATTACATTGTGAATTGATAATGACGTAATATTACCTGTTAGATATATAAAGATAGTTTTAATTACTATTTGAAATCAAATTAAATTCAGATGTAGGAAACAAACCTAGATGGTGACAGGAGTTCTAAAATCTTTCGAGATAAAACCATGTTCCACGATTATTATTAAAGCATAGAAAAATTAAACATAAATCAGTTCGAAAGTTACCTTCGAAATCAAGTGGTCAATTAATCAATAACATATCAATCTTGGATATATTATTTACAACAATATTATACGATGGTAGGTTTAAGGTTAAAAGTTTCAGTGCAGAAATATATTTTTTCATGTCAACTACTCACTCAATATGGATATTTTACCGTGAAAAGTCGTGACATAAAAAAAAATTAATCATTAATAAACACTTATAGGATTATTTTTGATATATCCTCCTCGATCATTACCGTTCTCTGTAGACCGAAGGTTTTAATTTTGAACGTTTTATGATTTTGCAAACTAAATACATTTTAACTGCAGTCTGCAGATAGGTAGGTAGGTACAACTTAAAACACACTTCAAAAATATAAATCAGCTACAACGGTTTCATATTATTTACATAGGTACATTATACATATAACATGTATTATATATATTATATATTATGCTTAAACACAATATTATAACCATCGTATTGTCATATTTTGTAAATTAACTTAATTATTATTAAAGTATTATTTTGTGTTTCTAATTGTTTTAATACATTATTGCGGTATGGTATTTCAGTGTGAACATTTAAAAAATAAATATATGAAAACTTTGAAATTATGTATTTTATTTTTAAATAGTAGTATTGATACATGATTGTAAAACAATACATTGATGATAAATTCATAACAATCAACTCTATAATTTATTCTACACAAACGTCGAAAGTGCAAAAGGTCATACTATAACACAATTTATACTATGCTATTAAGTATTATTTACCTAAAACTTACATGGGCCTTGAATAATGTTACCAAATTGAGGATTGTTATCTACTTTTTAAGATCATATTTTCACATTATTCTTCCAAGCCAAACGTGAAAGCTATATAAACATAAATTGATTTTTATTCGATCAAATTACTGAAGAAAAATAAATGTATAATAAAAAAGTATAGATGTATAATACTTCAATAAACTAGGTAGATGAATATTACAGTTCTATAAAATTATCAATACGATTACTTATACATTACAGCCCGGAGATTTTAATTGTTGAAATTATATAAACTATTAAGTCTATTAAGTTATATCAAAAATAAACATTTAAATAAGTATTTTAATTTTGGTTCCTTTCAAACACTTGTTTGGTTTATGTTTGCGTGATACCTATATAATACGTCTTATTATAAAACATTTTTGTTACAGCACTAAATCTCCTATAATTTGAATGTTAATGCTTCACATTCATTTCGAAATGTATAAGTATTTATAAATAATAATAATGGTGAATCGTTTAAATATTTAAGATAAATAATATGATAA